TTCATGTCAGATATTTCCTGAGCTAAGCAAAGTAGATGAACAAAACAAATATAGATCAATGTGGATTCGAACGTATTCTTCTCTATGGATGCTTATAAGCATTATCATCATTCTATACTTGGGTCATCTGTATATTTGTGCGATGGTCGTTGTCATTCAAATAATCATGACCTTCGAGCTATTCAATCTACTTAGAAGACCCGATGAAGATAGATGCCTACCTGGATTTAGGCTACTAAATTGGTAAGAATTCCCCTGTATGTACTTTGATTGCAGCTACTCAAAATGGAAATATAACTGGGGTATGCATTTTATATTGTTCAGGTACTTTTTCTTCACAGGCATGTTGTTTGTGTATGGACGCATACTCAGCCAACAGCTTGTGAACACTGTAACTTCAGATGAATTCTCATATAAGCTAGTAGGCAAGGTCATAAAGTATCAGATGGTCTTTTGCTACTTTCTGTATATTTCAGGTCTGTTCATCTTCGATGTGATAAATTTCGATTTCTACAGTCTGCCTTTTTGTTATTTCATGCATACATCCATTGAAGGGGAGCCTTGGCATAACTGGTAAAGTTGTTGCCATGTGACCAGGAGGTCACGGGTTCTTGCAGAGATGCAGGGTAAAGCTGCGTACAATATACCCTTGTGGTCCGGCCCTTCCCCGGACCCGCGCATAGTGGGAGCTTAGTGCACCGGGCTGCCCTTTTTTATGCATACATCCATTCACTTCAAATATGCCTCTTTTCTTTTTCTGGTCAATTTATCGCTATGTGACTTTTGATGCTTTTATCAGTTAACGTACCTATTCTGTATCACAAGCGCTTTTTAGCAAGATGTTAATTATGTGATGATCATTTGTATTTACAGGACTTGTGTGGTTCATACTAACACTAAAGAAGAAGACATACAAGTATCAATTTGGTCAGTATGCATGGACGCACATGATTCTATTTGTGGTCTTCACTCAATCCTCTTTTACTGTAGCCAACATATTTGAAGGCATTTTCTGGTAATATAAGTTTTCAGGAAGTTAATATGTGATGTTATAACAATTTTTACTCCTGTTGATGCATTAATTAAATGCTTCTTTTGGTTATATCATTGAATTATCTTAGATATTATACGGCATAGCCTTATGAACCATACAATGAAAGAAATGCCTAAACCTCCCCTAGATATATGCTTTTTTTTACTGTCTGAGTTTATCGTTTCATAAATGCTAAAGGATGTATAATTTGGTCTGCTCTTTATCTTATCTGAGAGTTATGAAGTGAAACCTATATCTCTAGTTAGTTGGATCTCCAAATTATATCTTTGGAGCTCTATCCCACAGAGGATATTGCCGCAACTTAAGTATTTTCATCTTATTCCACTTGATTCCCGTAATGCAAGAACTGCTTCATCTACTATGTAATCTAAATTTGCACCTTAATAGCTATGGCAACAACATTCAATTAAAAATATGCTTCCCTATCCGTTAGTGGTAAGTTGGGAATATTAAAGAGAATCACCTTTTAAGGCTTGTGGATACTTATTCAAAGAACTAGCAAATTGTTAGCCAGAGATGATCTGTACTATCGTTGAGTTAGGTCACTTTCTTTACCGTAGTGTGCATATCGACATTTAATTCTACTGTTGCAGGTTCCTTCTTCCAGCATCACTTATAGCTATGAATGATGTAGCAGCTTATTTCTTTGGTTTCTTCTTTGGGAAGACACCTTTGATCAAGCTTTCTCCAAAGAAGACATGGGAAGGCTTCATTGGAGCATCTATTGCCACCATCATAACAGCTTTCTTGGTCAGTGGCACCTTTTCAGGACTTCCAGTTTTCAATCTTCCTAATCTCCTGCTCTTTTTGACCAACTGATTGTATTTTTTACACTTGGTTGAGATGGAAGTAGTTTTGTCACTGTATCCAAAACTTAATAATAGAGGAGGGACTTGATCTTGTTCTGTTCTTATGCCACGGCTTATAGTTGTAGATATACTTGGTTGAGAATCCAGGGGTGGAGGCAGAAACCGAGCTACGGGTTCGGCCGACCCCAGTGGCTTTTGCTCAAACGGCATATTTTGTGTTAAGAAATTTAATAAATATGTACAAATATTAAATTTAGAACCCAGTCATTAGCATACACTTGAAGTCGTCGTTCTAAACAGAATCCATAAGGTTGAAATCTTGGCTCCGCCTCTAGCTGAGATGAAAATATTTTGATTCTTTTAGGTGGTAGTTGGCTTGTTACTCTATCTTCCCTCCTCTTTCTATAATAAGGGCATACACAGAAAAGTTTTATGTGAAGCACTGTCAAAATGTGAATTTTGTAATTGAAATTTTCAGCTTGTATGCAGTTTGCTAATGTCCTCGGCCGTTTCCAATGGTTGACATGTCCAAGAAAGGTGAGATCTTTTATCTTTCAAGTTATTTTTTTAGTTGGTATTTTGCAAAATTTTGATGATTGCTTACTTATCTAACAATGTATATGCAGGATCTATCGACTGGTTGGCTTCAATGTGATCCTGGTCCTTTATTCAAGCCAGAATACTATTCTATAGCTGGATGGCCTCAATGGGTGAGTCTGCATCATTAATACCTTTCTGTGGAAACTATGATCTTGCTTTGCGGGTCTGTATATTAACCGCAGTTCCTCTTTCATCACGAAATCGAAATTACAAAACTATAATGCTATAAGCTTTCAGCCCATTAGCCTAGAACTCATAATATCAAGAATTCCGATGGTAACTTGAAAAGAGTGAATCCTCTGGAACTGTTTTGACAATTCTTTCTACTAATGATGTGTGGTTTTTCTTACTTGATGATTTTTTTAATCAATATTATCAACATTCTCCTACAAGCTTGGGACTAAGGCATAGTTGATTGAATGATTGATCGATATCGCTGCTGACAATGTAGTCTCAGTAGTTCCATGAGAAACTATCAAAATCAATGAAACTTTGTAACAAAAGATGGCTCAGATCTGCTACAACTGCTAGTTCAATCTAATCTCTTAACAAGCTGGTATTGAGTTTTATAAAAACACAATTCTACAAGTTTGTATCGTTCAAGTCACACCCTAAGTCATCTAATTTGTGCTTGATGAAATAATCCATTGCTTAGGCAATCTTGATGTTTAAATGCTCGAACCGCATCTAGCACTCGGTTGTTTTACTCTATAATATGCAACAACAACAACAAACCCAGGGTAATCCCACAAAGTGGGGTCTGGAGAGAGTAGAGTGTACGCAAACCTTACCCCTACTTTACGAAGGTAGAGATGCTGTTTCCGATAGACCCCCGGCTCAAGAGAAAAAAAAAAAACTAAAAAAGAAGCAGAAACAACAAGTAGTAACCATATCAAGCAAAGGTGATATAATAATCGAATAGATACTCTATAATAAGCACAATATCGTAGACTTTCTTAGCACTACATTTAACATGAAATTCCTCTGCTGCTTACAGAACTTACATACTCATTATCATTTAGTGAATTCTTACAGTTCCCTCTGAAGGAGATATCAATACTACCAGTGCAATGGCATGCTTTATGCCTGGGTTTATTTGCGTCAATAATAGCTCCGTTTGGAGGATTTTTCGCTAGTGGTTTCAAAAGAGCCTTTAAAATCAAGGTCTGTATAGCTATTATTTGAAATTGAATAGTATTACCTTTGTACTTTTTAGTCACTGATATCCTCCATTTACATGGAATCATCCAGGACTTTGGATATTATATTCCTGGACACGGCGGTTTCACTGATAGGATGGATTGCCAGGTAATACTCAAGAATCAAGCAGTTATCTTCAAACTAAAGAAACTACTTGTGCCCTGAGTTTTTTACAAAATAAAATGTTTTCATTCACCTTAAATATTTTGTTAAGATGATAGAGAGTTGAAGCATTTACTTGTTCAGACACAAAATTACTTCCTCTTATTTGAAGTTCAACAGTGTAAGCTAAAGCTAAGGTTGTGTTACATATGCAGATGGTGATGGCAATTTTTGTCTACATCTACTACCAGTCATTTGTTCCTCAGGACTACTCCGTTGAGATGATTTTAGATCAGGTAATAACTGATTTTCTAATAGAGTGCTAAAGGTGAAAGTTACATGCTTAAACATTTGCTGTGGCCATATTTTGTACTAAAAAGACATGAAAAATATAGCCAAATTGGTGAACATTGCTTGTGAAAACTACACTTCAAATGGATGTGTTGCTAATTCCAAGGCACAAACCAAGCAGATAATTCGTTTTCCAGGGTCTATCGGAAACAGCCTCTCTACTCCTCCGGAGTAGGGGTAAGGTCTGCGTACACAGTACTCTCCCCAGACCCCACTTGTGCAGATAATTAAAAGAAGTAAACTAATTGAAGATTTTGAATAACCGTGGTCCAAAGGGGTGTCAGTTGACACCCCTTCTTCCGGAAAATTACACTGTGTAGTTTGGTAATTTTTATTTTATACGCATATATTACTATATGTTGACTCCCCTTGACTTTTTCGCATGCTTACTTCTTTATATTTTGACACCTCTTAGTGAAAATTCTGGCTCCGCCACTGACCGTGGATAAGTAATCTGTAACTGATTCACTTGCTACTGCAGATAGTAAGGAATCTCAGCTTCGAGGATCAGAAAGCACTTTACTATAGGCTGGGCCAGATATTTCGGCAGAGACAGCTGGAAAACTATTGAACAGTACTGCTGCCAGATTCGAGCACAATATTTCTTCTAGGTTGAGATGTTATGGGTGTCCATTTCTGCACATTTACTCTTCTTAAACTCATATTCAAAGTTATGCACCAAAATTTTCTCCCTGTTTCATTTCTTTTATCTTTTCAAAGACTTTATGAGAATCGGTCAATGATCGCAAACACCAGATCCTGTGAAACAAATGTAGGGAGAATTTTTACTATGTCAATCCTAGTTCTCCCCAAGTTGGTATATTTTGGCAAACTGAAATTTAATGTGTGGGGAATCCTTACTTGCCAAAATCACCCTTAAATAATATAGGATGCTTCATTAAATTGCTTAATCACAAAATTTAGCAATTAAGAAACACAATCAGATTGGGTAATAGAAGGTTACACCAATAAGCAGCTTATGAATGTACAGCAGTAAACATTCTCTGGAGTGCCTCTCAAAATACATATAGTTTCAGTTCACCAACTTTAAAATGGTGACTTTTTGGATTCCGATACGGAAATCAGGATGATTCATCAGTCTGGAAATTGCATCAGTTGATCAAAAAAACAAGATGCTCAGATTCAAGAAGCTCCTTCAAACCAAGCCAACAATCGCGTAGCACTATAAGTTCTGGAAACTTGATACTGCTGAAACTTTGCTTGAAGCATTTGGCCACATCAGTTGCTGACATTCTTTGATCATTTCGGAGCACCAATATCCGAGGTAGATGACAAATTTCTCAGAAGCATCAAACTAAGTCGAAAGCTAACTAAGTCGAAAGCTTATCCTTTCGTTGAACATTATGTGCGTCTTTTCACCTAGTTATGTACTGAATATCTGCATTTTCCCTCAGCCATTCAAGTACTTTAGCCCCTTCAAGTACTTCTTGTACCTGTGCAACATTAAGGGACACACTCTTTACTGAATATGGTGGAGAGCAAACATAAGACTTGCTTAAACTGGTGAAATTATTGGTGTAGAAAGAAACATCATCTAATCCAGTCAAATTGGCATATCAAGATAGTTTCCACATTTCTATTATGATCAAGTCGCTTGAGATTTTGCGGTCAACTATATTTAAAATGTTATTGTCAGAACAATTCAATTAAATTCTAACCTGTTGCTTAACCCGGTCCTCGTCATAGTCCTGTTGAGACTTCTGGAATTCTTCAATTGAGTTCTGAACCTCTTTCACTAGCTCCTCTGTTGAAAACTGCAAAATGAATAATAATGATAAGAAAAGGTAAGCTGCACTATCAGCATGCCTAAGTAGGTAAAATGCGTAGGAGCAGAGCATAGATAAGCAGATGGTTGTTGTTAAAGAACTAGAAATGCAACCTACATGGAGGAAAGTGAATCACAAATTGAGTATAGTTGGTAGTTGAAGAAAGACTGGCGGAACAACAACAACAACAACAACAAGACTACTTTCGTTGTTTTGAGTAGTTCTCAGATATAACCTATTTTATTACCTTGCCAAAAGACGAGCAACTAGTATTTATAACAAATATCAAACAATAGCTAATGTGCAGACTATAGTAATTATATGAAATCTGAGTACAACTTAAGGCTTTGAGATTGCACCAGAGCCAAAGGGGCTTGAGATAAGGAGGGTACTACTAATAATTTTTAGAAATTTTAAGCAGCCAATGATAAAGATGAAGGGAAAAATAATTATCGGAATTTTGATGGGGGGTCATATATCATTACATAAAGACGGAATGTACCTGCAAATTTTCGCGTATAAATATGTCACCAACAGCTAAATTTTGCTTTATAATACTTGTTATATTTTCTTTTTGTGCTTCAAGGAACTCATTCACGGCCCTTGGGCTTGATAACGATGCCAGCTGCTGTTCGCTCAGTTTCATATTTGCCTAAAACAAAGATAATGATTAGATCAGAGCACAGAAGTCCATAAATGGAGAGACAACTGGCTGGTGAATACTAGTTCTGACCTGCAATTGTAAAAGTTGAGCTCCATAGAGTTGTCTTCCTTGCTCTTCGAAGAGAGATTGAGGAATATCAACTTCAACCATCTAGATCAAAAGAGAAAATGTCATAAACTCATCATAAACAAAAGGTTAACAAAACGAAATCTAATACATGTATGGAAATAGTCACCAAACTTAGGGTCTATGTATGAGTGCGAGTCTGCGGCACAACAGGATTACCATATCTCAAACATCAGCAATTTTTTAGTAGTGAGCATAGCAAATAATAACAATAAAACCTAAGTTATTCTCACTGACTGGCGGGTGTAAAATTTATTCAAAGAATTTTGTTATATAGGAAACGAACTGCGTGTTCATATGGCCATAAGCCCATAATCAAAGTTAAGGGAAAAACTCAGCTTGTGATTTGTAAGCTAGAGCTGATCAGAAGAAATTTGTCAATCAAGCAACACATGTTCACTATGGCTTGCATGTTTTTATTTGCTAGACACGACTGTTGAATAAAGAAATGGAAAGAAACCTTGTATAGCTGGTCTAAGATGGCATTATCAGTTGCTTGGTCTTTAGCTGCCTGTTCAACTTCAAGACATCTTTGTAGCAATGCTTGCTTTACCTGCAAATTATTTAGCAGGAAATTTCCTCAACTTCGATGTCATTCAGGAAAATAAATTGCTTTCCTACAACTCCTCTGCTGCACATATGGTTGGGGGGGGGAGGGGGAGGGCAAGTCCTACCTCCTCAATGGAGCTGCATCCCGGGATAAGCTTATCAGCAATCGAGTCATTCACCTCAGGCAAATCTCTGTAGAACAGTTCTTTACAATCAACCTGATGAGAGAAAACAAAAGGAAGAACTTTCATCAAAATTATACTGAGTTGTACATATTAATAATCTAAGTAAGTTTCTTCCCTACTCAACCTAATTTGGCAAAAAGCTCGAAGTGATCTCAGAAAAAAAAAAACACGATCAATCAGCCTTAAAGTGGTCGAGTGGCATAGAGGCAACACTATTGGTGTTATTGTCCCCCTTATTTGTACTATTCCTATGTGGTTCTTTTATTTGCTTTTTATTATGGCAAAATAGCCTAGGAGACACTTGTACTTGTTCCGGTTTGTCAGAACGAAAGGGAGAAAGGGATGAAGAAGAAGAGGAGGGGAGGGGCGGTGGGGGGGGGGCAGAACGAAAGGGGAAAGGGATGACAGAAGAAGAAGAGGGGGGGCAAGAACGAGGGGGAAGGGGTTGAAGAAGAAGAAGAAGAAGAGAACGAAGGGGCCCGGTAGGGGCTGAAGAAGAAAAATAGTATTTTTGATTTATTTATTTATTTATTTTATTTTTTTAATAAAGAAAAATCATCAGCTCACGCACCTAATGTGCGTGTAAATCACTTATTTTGTCCACCTCAGCCATATCAATGCCACATAAGCCCGGTCAACGGTCAGAAGGGTTTAAAAGTCTTATTTTGATTAAGTTGAAGTGTCTAGATGAAACTTTATGGAGTGTAGGGACCGGAATGATAAACCGGAACAAGTACAAGTGTCTCCCAGGCTATTCTGCCTTTTATTATTAATAAGACTAGCCCTAGGCACTTGCCTAGTGGATTTGCTTAAAAAAAAAAAAAGTGGTCGAGTAAGTAGCACTAACTTTTGCTTAGAAACACTTAACAGAGATCCTTATTCAGATGAGGGCAGAACACCCTACGGCTAAAACTTGAAAAATCAAAACTAGATTCCACATCAATTTCAACTGACCAGCAAGATTATGCAATTCTTCTCTACAGTGACAGCCAGCAATATTGTTAGATGAGCTTTAGTCAATTCTTGAAGTCAACATTTTCTTTGCAGTATTATGGTTAAAGTATTTTCGTCACTTTTAGTAGTGACGGAAAACATGGGGCAATCAGTCAGGGAATGCCAAAAGAGAGAAGGAAATCTTGCCTAGATGGAAAAGTGAGAGATGATAAACAAAGTAATCATAACTATTTAGATGATGTAGAATTCACTTCAAATCTTTATCAGGTGGCATAGGAACTCACTGTGAATTGAGCATGAACACCACGAAGATCCTCTTGTTTCCATGAGTCTGGAAATACCAAAGGGAATGACTTCGTTTCACCACGTTTAATACCAATAATTGAGTCAAGAAAACCGGGAAGGACATTATCTCCATCTTCTGTGTCAAAGTTGAAACCTGAACCATAAATATAATAACAATCAGCTCAAACACTTTCAATAATAGGACAAGCAACTAAAACATACTTGCAGACCTTATTTCATAAAAAAAAAAAAAAAAAGATATACTAAAGGAATACTAGCCTTTACTCTCTGCAGCAGGTATGCTTTTAGCATCTGATCCATCTTGTTCAATTGTAGTTGCTGATATATCAATCACTGCAACATCGCCAACCTGGAGAATTTTTAGATACTAACGTAAACAAAATATCGTATGCATAAAACAAAAAGAATAGCCTTCTCAATTACTTATGTATGCCTCTGGACTTAATCTCAGTGCCAAATGCACAGAAGTTGGAGAATGTAACAGTACCTATATGATCAATACTCTGTAAATGAGTATGCTAGGAAAAAGAGAAACCAAAATGCTTTCCGACATCAAAGTCAGTTCGTGCTAATGAAAGTAAAAGATAATGCTTATATATCACAAAAGGAAGGTTGCAAATCATATCATAACTTTTCAGCGTGTGCTCGTGCTGGGGGCTGAAAAATGAAGGAGCTTTACACAAATAACCGGCCGGATTCACTTACTTTTCAAGACAGTATACGTGGATTATACAGTGATTATACATGGTTATACACACATTATACATGAATAATACATATATTATACATCCGCCAGCTATTGTTAATTTTGCAGTTGAATGGGTGGCTATTTAGGTTATTTCTTCAAAAATGAAAGGGTTTTTTGCATTTTTACTCAGCGTTGAAAGATCTTCATTTTATCGCATGAATGATATCACTTAACCAATTTAAACTGTCATTTGTAGAAATGTTTCATTTTATTGCAAATGGTGTAAACAGAAACGAGGTGAGGAAGGGTTTCAGCAGCGAGGTGAGGAAGCAGCTGTGATTGGGGGAAGGTGTGGTGCTGGCAGAAGTCCGTAGGAGCTGTTGAGTTGCATCTGATTTTGTGGACTCTTAAGCAAAGAGGATACAATGGCATGCATATTCATTTATGCTGATTTAACATGTTCAATGTATAATTTAGGCGTTAAACTAGTAAGTAAGCAGAGAGAAGAGTTAAACAAATTCATTCAAACCCTCTAGATGCTTTCAAGAAGCTATCCAGCTTAGACCGAGGAACCAATGGTTATACCTGTAAACCCCGGTCAGTAACAATTTTCAATGCACCCAGAGACTTGTGACGCCGTTTAAATTCTTTTTCTGAAGCTGTCTGAGCATCCATATCACTGTCAAGCTCAACAACCACCTTAAGATTCTTATATGCATTGTCAGGTTTCCACTTGATTTCAGGAGCCACATCGACAATCACATCATACCTACAATCATCACAAATCTCAGGTCAGGACTTCCCTTACCTTTTTATGGCCATAGGCCATCGCATATATGATTTCTCAAGTTGACCAGAATTTTCAGGTGATATGCTTCTCAAAGGCGGTACCACCTCAATTAGTATTAACTAGATCAAACTCTTCTCACTTTTCAATTCTAAAGCTAATAACAGCAACTGTAGATCATGAAAAGTGCAAGTCTAACCACAACGCATGAGAATGTTATTACTTTTATTTTATTGCCGAGGAACAGAAATACAAAGACTAAGGCACATGTCTAAGAAAAGATGGCATAAAACAGCTTTTGAGCAAGTCGGCATGACAAGAAACTCATTATCGTTATTTTCTTATTCAGTTTTCCTCCTTAAGGCCTATGCTGCAGATCTAAATTTTTAAATGTTAGAGATGTAAACTCCAGAATTTATTCGGTTAGCACTGAAGATTGTTTGAAAAACAAAAACTGCCAAAAGTTTGTAAGCATCTAACACGAGTTTATAATATGCCAGGAAAAAGCATTTTGCACAGAAGTATCTATCTGGTCAAACTCAAAACCATTGCTTAACAGAGATGCACATAAGATTGTTAGCATTCATTTCATAAAGAGTACTGTTCAGAAAATTACCCAATGCATCAGAAGGTTAATTTCATTGTCACCAGTTTTACAGTTAATTGATCAATAGTACAGCATTTACTTTAATCAATTTAGAAGATGTGGAAAATAAAGTTTTCTAACTAAATTTAATTTGAGTCTTCAACAAACCTCAAGGAATTCGTAGACACATAGGTCTTTTCCATGTCTGCGAATTTGGTCGCAATGCGAATTGAGTCTTCCAATGCCTTTCCAGTAATCTGCAGCATACAGTGCATCAGAGTTAGCACACCAAGAAAGTGGAAAGCGAACAATGTAATTCCCTATTATTACTTACAAGCAGTATGTTAGTTTTTTAAAAGATGGGGCAGCAAAAAATATTAAAAGTAAAGATTGAAAATGTCTCTCAATAATTTTATTAAGCATAACAGGGCTTTAAATAGCCAATCAGGAACATAAGCTGCAGAAAAATCTGCATAACAAGAATTCAAAAAAACTAAAATATCTCAACAAACCTAAAAAATCTAACTGAAATTTAAATTCAAAAAAGTAGATTTATCCTAAAATTAAGCTAACTTATTATGCTAAAAAAATGCAATAGTAACTGAAGCAAATCATCAACACTCCTCCTTTGCTTCAGTTGCTCTAAAACAATTCCTCCTCCTCAATTACTGCTTCTGCTGTTTGTGCTTGAGGATTGTGTTGAGCGTCTTTGAACTTACACACTTTTGTAACATGGCCTGTTTGTTTGCAAATACCACATATTGCATCATGCCTCCACCAACAAAAATTTTCTAGGTGTGTTTTCTTTTTGCAGTATTTGCAAAGAGGATAATTGACCTTTTCTTTTTTGTTTTGTGCATAAAAAGCACCTTCAGTAACCATTTCTTGTCTAGATGCTCTTCTTTGTTCTTGTGCTTGAAGAGCACTTATTAGTTCTGCAACAGAGATGGTAGAGAGATCTTTAGACTCTTCTAGAGAGGAAATTTTGGATTCAAATCTCTCTGGAACCGTCACAAGAATTTTTTCAACTATTCTGTCATCTTTAAAATCCTCGCCAAGCAACCTGATTCTATTAACAATAGAAGAAATCCGATCAGAATACCTAGTGATAGTCTCGTCTTCTTGCATCCTAAGAGATTCAAAATCCCTTTTCAAATTTAAAATCTGCATTGGTCTAACTCGATCACTTCCTTGGTACTCCTTTTTAAGTTTTTCCCAAGCTTCTTTTGCTGTCTCACATTCAATGATTTTAGAAAAAATTGAATCTGCAACTGAATTTTGAATCACAGTTTTGGCTTTGTATTTTTTGGTTTTCTCTTCTGAATGGTTTTTAATTTGGGCAAGAGTAGGATTTGCAGGGAGTGGTTGTAATGGTCTATCTTCCATTACAGCTTCCCATAAATCATAGGCTTCAAGATATGATTTCATTTTCACTGACCAAATCTAATAGTTTTCACCAATGAAAGTTTGTGGGGCATTCAAAGAGAGACTGTTGCTTGCCATATTTGAAAATAGGTTTAAAAATTGATATTGGTTAAAAAAATGATTTGAAAATGGTTTTTTTGGAAGAACTCACAGATCCCGTAAGATCGATGAGGCTCTTGATACCACTGTTAGTTTTTTAAAAGATGGGGCAGCAAAAAATATTAAAAGTAAAGATTGAAAATGTCTCTCAATAATTTTATTAAGCATAACAGGGCTTTAAATAGCCAATCAGGAACATAAGCTGCAGAAAAATCTGCATAACAAGAATTCAAAAAAACTAAAATATCTCAACAAACCTAAAAAATCTAACTGAAATTTAAATTCAAAAAAGCAGATTTTTCCTAAAATTAAGCTAACTTATTATGCTAAAAAAATGCAATAGTAACTGAAGCAAATCATCAACACAGTAAAATATTTTAGAGCAAGATACAAGTTACTTCCTAAAATTGCCAAAACAGTATTGACAGACACCACTTTGGCCCGGTTTTCTATTTATGAGATACACCAGAGGTGAAAAGAGTTCCTAAAAACTTTAGGTACATAAACAGTTTGACAGGAAGTGATTAGTAAAAAGTCAAACCTCAAATTTGTAACAACAGCTCTAGAAGCTTAAGCTGTTACAAGATTAATAAATTTGTAAAAGTAGCATGATGACGCACCGAAGACATGGCATGTGGAAGTGTTCTTTTCAGAATAGACTCGACTGCAGCTTTTTGAACATTTTGCTTCCCAACATAACCAACGAGGATATCTTCTGGAACATTCTTCCCAGGACGAAATCCAGGAACCTGAACAACATCCGTTGAATTAGAATCCAGAGTTGGAGTGGATCGGCAAGCAGATATTTAGTGAAAAGATAGGCAGTGCACCAGCAGTTGCCATGGAGTTTTAAATCATACTCAATAGATAATGTGGATCATGGCAATCAAAGCTGACATCTAGTATTCCTAAGAGGAAGAAAGTATAGAAACAACATTTAAGAACAATGTTATAGTCTTCTCCTCAAGACAATAAATTAGCTTCATGCATGGAATGTGACAACAGTTATAAATTTAAAAAGGTTTCCATCTAGAACCTTTGAGTGTTTCATGAACTCTCTTATGACTCTTCCATAGCAGTCCTCGCATACCACAGTTGGAACTTCTACAGTCAACCTGACCTGCAAAAAGCAAAAGAATTGAAGTGATGTAAGTCAAATGACGGACATCATAATGACATCTTATCCTTCTAGACATTTAAACAAAAGAATATGTGAGCCTTCAACCCTGTGGATACTTCACTACTACAGATAGGATCAAGCTAAATTTCTAATTCTCAAATTTGACTATTCCTGATATACTTGGAACACCTTGTAATGCATTGACAATCCACTTTAACTATAGCAATGCATTTTTAGTTTTTGATCATCATAAATTCAATGCATCCGAAAAATTAAAATGAGGGCATTATTAATCTTAGCTAATGCTACATCCACTGTTTGAATTTTGCAGGAGATAAAGCCTAGGAATTTTTCAAGAAAGATAATAAGACCTAGCTAGGCAGCTGACATATATGCAATCAAAAGTTCGTTCAGAAAAGGAGAAAAACCACTTATGCACAAGATAAGAATCCATAACAAAAATTTAAAGTTGAAAAGATGATTAAAAACTTGTCACTAGGTTAGAGAAGTATTATTCCCTCTCCAATTTTAATTAACATTCTCCTTATTAGTCTGATCCAAAAGGAATGACATCTTTCTTTATTTACAAATAATTCTTAGGACTTCTTGTTTACCTCAAGCTCAATGACATGATTTTATCACTACATAAATGTCTATGGCAATGTTTTAGACAACAAATTTTAAAATTCTTTCTGGTAAAGTTGTTGTCATGTGACCAGGAGGTCACGGGTTCGAGCCGTGGAAATAGCTTCTTGCAGAAATGCAGAGTAAGACTGCGTACCATTGACCCTTGTGGTCCGGCCCTTTCCGGACCCCGCACCTAGAGGGAGCTTAGTGCAGCACGCTGCCTTTTTTTTCTTTCTTTTCTTAAACTTAATCCCAATCAAACACTGTCACATAAATTGTATGAAAAAACCAAACGTTTGTGAAGAAAATTAAAACTTGGGGTTTGAAAAAAAAATAAGACACTTAAAGAAACTAAATAAGCGTACTCTGGAATTGGGTTCCTGGGTTTCAGTAACATGAATATCAGCTGGAAGTTTGTCTTTTTCAACAGTATCAGCAACGCCAGGAGCTGCTGAGGCAACGAAACGAGTTGAAGAAAGCTGCTGCTGTTGAAGAAAGGAGAATTGGCGGGAAGAAAAAGTGGGTACTATTTGTTTGAGAGGAGAAGAGAGCAAGAATTTATCATTGGGTTGAAGAAAATGAGGTTTTGTATTGACAGATGAGAAATTAGGTGATAGAAATGAGAGAAAAGAGGGCTTGAATTGGATTGCAATTGGCGTTGCCATTTTTTCAGTTCTAAACCAAAGTTGCACAACTGAAGATAACACTCCCCACCCACCCTAGGCCTTATTTAGAGCAATTTCCAAAGTAGGATAAGGTACGGTTTCAAAAAAATATTCCTATCTTTTAATTAAAATATATTCCTATCTTAACTCACATTATTTCATAGTAAAAGAATATATTTAAAGTATTTGAAAAAAAAAATTGTAGTAATAGAAAAAACTATTTTGACTTGCCTAATGTGGAGGATGATTTAATAGCATAATGGCTTTAACTTTACTCTATTGTTGCAAATTTTTGAATTTTTATACTATTAAGTCACATAATAACTAATTACATATAAATATTCACAATTTATTGAAGAAACTATGCTGATTTAATAAACTACACTAATAATGTAAAAAAATTAGTATAGATAAAGTTATGATTATGTCATAAACCCCTCCTCTATTTTCCTCTCTTTCACTATTCACATGTCCACAATCATATCAGAAAAACAAGAACATGAAAATATGAAATCCATTATAACTGGAAAGGAAACCAATTCGGCGTCGTTCCGCTGCAAAAACCACAAATGAAAAATCTAGAGTTTTTTACCAATATTGTCCTTTATCTTTGAGGGTAGGTCTATTTTGGTCCCTCAAATATAACTCTGAAGGACTGCTATTTAGAAATTAGTCAGTGTATTCTAAATTTCAGTTTTTCAGTTTAATTTTTCAAGACAAAAATGTCCTGAGTTGTCTGAAAGTCTAGCCTAGAATTATGACAAGTGGCAACATAGGAAAAAGACATGTGGTAGTTTTAGGATAAAATTAGTTAGATTAGTTATAATAAGTTATTTAGTTATTTTTAAATTCAAAATCAAAATCAGTTATTTTTCCCCTTTTTGATTGCTTATTTATTATTATTTTATTATTATCTTTTTTGTTAATTATTGGCTTTTAAATGTTTACCAACGGAAGGGAATAAGTTTTGTCAACTATTGTGTTCCAACAATGACGGTTTCCTACGATTTTTTTCTATTTGGTGAAAGTTTTTTCTATTTTGTGCTCTTCCTTTTAATATGTGGAATATTCATATTCATATTCATTCTATGCCAATTATTTCATATTTGTATCTGCTACATTACATACGAAGGAGTTTAGCTTGATACGTGGACAACACAACATGGAACAATTAGGAATACTATATAATTAATGGTAATTTTGTATTTCCTTGCTTATTTTTTTCCATAGTGATGATATCTCTGGGCTATGACTTACTTGAATATAGCTTATGAAAAATTTCATTTACAACCATCTTTAGAGAATCAATTATCTGCGAAAACATACCCTGACTTCTCCCATGTATCTTTCATTTCTTGCGGTGTTAATAATTTAGTTCTTTATGTTCTTTATTTCGTTCATTTGAAACATCAGCACATACTATGGTTGTTTTTCCATTTTTTTCTATCAAGTTGGTCTAAATTAATGATTAGTAACTGTATAATTATTCAACGACTGGAAAACTCAAATTAGCTTTGGAAGTTTAATATAATATTTTAAAATATCCATATAATTTATGGAATAATAGTAAATCAAATTTCTGTTTGTAAGTTACGAAAAGTTCAAGCAATCAAGTAAAGAATAAGAGTACAGCGGTTGAAATCTCCGTTGATTTACATTATTTGTAGCGGTTGAAATAATATTTATTTTTTAATAATGAAGCAATTTTGAGTAATAAAATAAGAGTATCGAAATAGTTTAGATTTAAGAAGTAAAAATATTTATTCATATTATATATTTAAAAAGAGAGAGATAGACACGGACATGAGTGAAAAACAAATAAACAATAAAGTACTTAAACATGCAATCACAACAAAAAATATGGAACAAGGATAAGCATATTTGAATTTGGTAGAAATGACACCAAGTAGCCACTTTGAAGGACTGCTATTTAGAAATTAGTCAGTGTATTCTAAATTTCAGTTTTTCAGTTTAATTTTTCAAGACAAAAATGTCCTGAGTTGTCCTGAAATTAAGTTTTTTAGTTTAAAATTTCATGACAAAATAAGTACTGGCTAATTCCTAAATAGCATCTCTGAGAATAGTTAACTGTGCACTTGCCCCTCGAATTTGATATGAGAAAGTCTTTGAATTTCAGAAAAAAAATATTGCACAGATACGGCCGTCTAACTGAAATATTAATAAATATTGAATAAAATAACTATAATTCAAATTCATATGTTGATAATATCAATAGTTAAAACTAAAATTTAATATATCATATTGAAAACAAAATAAAAGTAGTTCAAAATTAATATTTGAATTATAGGCAAAACACTAAATAAAAAATTAAGTAAAAATATTATAGTAAAAAAAAAATGCATACAAGAGGAAGATAGGGATTGTTTGAGTATATTTATGATATTGATTAATTTGTAAAATAAATATAGTAACTAATTAAATAATGCTAAAAATTATGGTTAACAAATTTAGACAATGAACTATGCATTTATATTATTTTGTCTTTTATTAGTATAATTATTATAAAATGTCAAGTGTGCCAAATATGCTAGCATTCTCTCATATAAGCTTTACACAATTATTTTATAACAAGCAAAATTTTAAAATTGACCGCGTATCGCGCGGGTAGCTATACTAGTTATAACTGGAAAGGAAACCAATTCGGCGTCGTTCCGCTGCAAAAACCACAAATGAAAAATCTAGAGTTTTTTACCAATATTGTCCTTTATCTTTGAGGGTAGGTCTATTTTGGTCCCTCAAATATAACTCTGGGCATATTTAGTCCCTTAAGTATGCTCAAGTGGAGCACCTTTAGTCTCACTAACACAATGTTCAAAACTAACGATGTTACCTAACTCTGATGCATGAAGCAAAACTTCTGCTCTGAAGTAAAACGTTTCCTCTTTTATTGGATAACGCAAATTATCACTTTAATTCCTCCTTTTTAAAATAATTTCTTCTAGAATTTTGACCTTGAAAATATCCCCTTCTGTGCCAGTTTTCAATGAGAAAATGACATTGTATAGCCGCTGTAAAAATAATAGCCGAACAAATATATAAAATTTGTATATTTTTTATATATATATACATTTAAAATTTTCAGTTGATTTTTCCAAAAAGAAAAGTTAAAATTAAAAAAAATAGAGCTGTCACGATCACTTCTAGGCATATTATTGAAGCAAACGAATAACCAGGTTGTATTATCACTTTTAGCCCGTGCCAGAAACTATTTACATCTGGTAGCTGAAAAAGTATATAAAATTTATATATTTTTGTATATTAACTTACAAAATGTATATATTTACAAAAAATATAAAAAATTTGTGCATGTTTTCGGCTATTATTTTTACAGCGGTTATACAGTTTCATTTTTTCATTGAAAACTGGTACAAAAAGGGATATTTTCAAGGTCAAAATTTTAGAAGATATTATCTAAAAATGAGAAATTAAAGTGATAATTTGCATTATCCAATAAAAAGAGAGGAAATGTTTTGCTTCAGAACAGGAGATTTGCTTCATGAATCCGAGTTGGGTAACATATTGCGTCATTGAAACTAAAGGTGTTCCACTTTAGCATACTTTAGGGACTAAATATGCTCAGGATTATACTTGAGGGACCAAAATAGAGCTACCTCAAAGATAAGGAACAATATTGGCGAAAAACTGCAAAAATCTACAAAAAGGAAGCATCTATGTCCACTAACTCAAGTCTTAACAGAGTTTTTTTTTACGTAAAACACAGCCCAAGATTTCGTCAAATCACATAAGCAGAGAGATTGTTCGCCATGGCTCGGGTAGCTTCAAGTCCCATTGGACTCCACAAACTGAGGCCGTTCCATTTTAGACCCCATCAGTCTTTGCAATTTGTAAAACCTTCCATTTATGAGCTGAAAAATGTTTGCAAGTATCAAAGAATATATTGCCAAACTGACCCAAAAACAGGCGACTGTTGCCAAGAAAACTCCAACCCACCTGAATCTGCACTAAAGGTTTAATCTTGTCACTTTCCTTATTGTTTCCATCAAACCCCTTTACCTTTATTTGATATTTTTGTATAGTGTGCTAGAAAAATGAAGTAATAGAGCAACCCCTAAAATTCCATGTTGAGGGAAGCATTCATTTGTACTGTTGTTAATTGATAGGAGTGTTGTTTATTCATTTATTACTTCATGAAAAAGAAAAATAGTGTTAATAATTTACTTATATTTGGAGAACTCTATTTGTTGGGTGTGTGAAAACATTGGTAGCTGAAAAGATTGGGAAGCTGCCTATAAGGTATAGGAATCCCTTAATGGTGTGAGGCCTTTTGGGGAAAAATCTTGCGGGCGTGGCCCAAAGCGTAAAATATCACACCATGTTAAGAATATTATTGGGTTGGTTGAGCCCAACACTATCTTTCTTACAGTTCCCGCACAAAAAGGAAAGGAATTAATGTTTGAAGTTTTGCTGGTGAGATGATATGTTTACATGGAAAGTATAGCTAGTGGTGTAATCTAGTTTTGATATTGATACAAATACATAGTTTCAATTGGCGTTTCAGCTTTATCAGTGTCGACTCAATTGGCGTTTCAGCTTTATCAGTGTCGACTAAACCTATACTGATTGTATCCCTTGAATGTTATTCGTGTCTGGTGCAGTACTTTTGTTTAGAATCCAATATACCTGTGTTGCTCTGCAGGATAAGTCTTCAGGGGTTGACACTGAGATTAGTAAAGCTGAAGTCTCTGCTCCATCTTCTGGTCCTGAATATCCGACCAAAGACTTCAATCGGCGGGTAGCACTAGTGTCTGTCCTTGCAGCACTTGGACTTTTCTCTTCACAAAGAGTAGATTTAGGTATTCCTTCTTTGAAGGATATCACGGCTGCGGCTCTGCCGTATGAAGAGGTTAGTGTTGCAATTAGAGTTTTTCTGGTAAAAAGGATACATAGGAGTATTTTGCTTTTGTTTTAATTTATAAGTTCTATTAAGATTTTAGGAAGCTTATCATCCAAATAAAGGTAATAGATGCTGCACAATGAAAATGTTTTACTTCACATAGATAATTACAACTTACTACAAGGCAAGGATAATTCAAAATACACAATAATTCTATTGGTACCCTCCCTCAATCTGAGCTGATTAGGGAAGGCATATATTAGAGTTTGCTTTAAGAAACTCTGCAGATAATAATGGCTTTCCGTTAATGTGTCAACAAGCTGGCAATGAGAAAGAAAATTGATGGACAATGAGCTCGCCAAGAGCTACCTTCTCTCGGATAAAATGATTATAAATGCTTACATGTTTGATCCTAGAGTGAGATTGGATTTAATGAGATACGCGGTGCCCCAATGTTATAATAAAAGTTTATAGGTGGCTGATTAAGAGGGACATGAAACTTACCCAATATTTTGTATCAATTGAAATACTGCAACTCCAGAAGCAAGGGATCTAGTCAGCTTCATACTCACTCCACCTTGCTATGTATTAACAGAAGTTTAGCCTCTCTTTTTTCCTTATAAATAGATTGAAGCTGGGCTTCTTATGTATTAAAATAATAAAGTGACAGTGGAAGAAGCTAGTCGCTTTTGTACTAGACATGAGAGAGAAGGTGCCCTCCAACACGAGGTTTATGCATGATTCAGATACTAAATTAAAAGCAAAAGTTAAGGTGGTCTTCTGAAGATGTTGTATTTATGCTAATGCAAATGTATGTACTTAATTCAAATCAGATCTGATGGATAATTAGTTCACACGGATAAATGCAAAGGATAAGTTACAAATGCAAAATAATGAAATTGATAGTTATGACATAGCCTAGAGTGCATCTCATACTCCCACAATCGTATGATTTACATCCGAACTTCCCTAGTTACCAAATTGTCAGTCTTGTGATTTCTTGTTGGATGTTGGTATATAGTTGTTAGCTGATATCACTGAAGCAGTTTTCTCCGCTTCTTCAATCTACTTAGTTGATGCAACACTATTCCTGCATAATTTGATAATACCCCGTCCGCGCCCCTACCCTAAGCAAATGTAAGCTTACATCAGAGTCTTTTTTATTCTGCCCTCTAAGTCACAGATACATATTTCACTATTGAGTCGTTTCAACTGTAGTTTCTTTTATGTTTTCTGTTTGTAGATTTGATTAAAATTTTCTTTTCGATCTCTTCCCATGCAGGCTCTTTCCAATGGAAAGCCTACTGTTGTAGAATTCTATGCAGATTGGTGTGAAGTTTGTCGAGAATTAGCTCCGGATGTCTATAAAGTTGAACAGCAGTACAAGTAAATCTTTTTGTTGCTATTGATCCCCTATAACCCAACTTCTTTTTTCCTATTACTATAATAGATTTATCTTTGAGTTATTCTTCTAAGAGAGAGAGCACCATTTTTCCAATAGCAGAAGTTTCTCATTTCCTGTTTAAGTGATACCACCTGCCTGTTTGAGTTTGTCCTTGTTCTTTGTAGCAGGTTTTTAGCAACATACATAGCGTGAGTCAGTTAACAATTTATTTTACCAAAGTTCATGCTGTTAATGCAGGGACCGCGTGAATTTTGTAATGTTGAATGTGGATAACACAAAGTGGGAACAAGAGCTTGATGAGTTTGGAGTTGAGGGTATCCCTCATTTTGCATTCCTGGATAAAAATGGAAATGAGGAAGGTAATGTCGTTGGCCGCCTTCCAAGACAGTATTTGCTTGAGAATGTGGATGCCCTTGCCCGAGGGGAAGAATCAATACCTTATTCTCGTGTTGTGGGACAATATACAAGTGCTGAATCGCGCAAGGTCCATCAAGTTTCTGATCCGCGAAGTCATGGTTAGGGCTCAGTCACACGGAGATATATTGCTCAAACTGTTATTAATTCTAGTAAGACTTACATATATGCAATGAGAAAGGAGTAACAAATACAACTTACTGGTTTGTAATTTTGGCATTTTTTTTTGCACACTTTATTGTATATAAGGAATTTATGTCGTAATCTATTGCACAAGTGACATCTAGTTTCGCTGAGTTAATTAGTTGCTCAGTCAGAGTAGCAATCTCCAAATACAGAGTGTTCTAATATCCTTTTTGCCTTGGTCAGCGAGTGAAAAATTCCCCATCTCCAAAAATACAAGAGAACAAGTGCATACGCCTTATTCTTTTAGGCTGATTGCAGTGTTTATATTGTTGAGCAGCTAACTTCCACACCGATAAAAATACAAGAAATTCGTTATCAAAGCAGAAGCTGAACGTGTTTTTCCTTGCCTTCACCATTAGCTGAAAAATAATGCTCACTTCTTTCACTCAGAGCTCCGGTTTAGCAAAAGAAAAGAAGTCGTGGGTCTCTTATGCAGAATAAGTTACATTCCCACTAAAAAGTTCAAAACGTATAACAATACTTGCGTATCGATAAAGAAGTGGAGAAGGAAAGTGCTCCACGCGCAATACGAATACCTTATGAATCAGAGACTTCTAAATGTTCCAATTTAAGACAACTCTGGATTAACGTCAAACCAAAAAGACCAATAGATTAACATCTGCACAATGAACACCTCCCCTGAAGGAATATCTAGAACTCAAATTGCCTGCGAGCAAAATGTTTCTGATTTTAAATAGCAAGGACTTTGTCTACTCCAAGCTCTAAAGCCTCAGTAGTGAGCCACCCATTTAAGTGTTTGTACTTTGATCAGCCTCTCTCTCCACGGCTACTGTTACACCAACTTCAGCAGGCCGAATAATTCGGTCATGCAAGGTGTACCCCGGCTGCAAACAGAAGTCCAATTAAATTGTCTGCTACTCATTTGACTTTCAATGAGAGGGATCAGGAATGTATTAAAGATTTTGCTAAGGAATTTTACAAATTAAGACTGAAATAACAAATAAATAATATGAACTGAGAGGAAAATGCTAAAAAATACCTTAAGACAAACAGCAATCACGCCAGGAGCCTTTTCAGGATCAGGTACTTGAAATACTGCATTATGCTTATTCGGATCAAACTGTTCATTTGTAGGATCGTATTTTTCAACACCAAATTTCTTGAATACCTGAAAAATTAACACAGCAAACCAAAAGAAGCAACTTAGTAAGATCTATAACCTACTTGCAAAAAGGATTAAAAATCCTATAACATGGTGCAAAAAATAACATTGAGCAACTATAATACCCCCTGGAACTCAACAAATGGTATAAAAACACCATTGAAGTTTGAAATAGAACAAAATAACCCGTACGCAAATGGTCAATTGTCAATGGCCAAAGCTAATGGAACCTAACGACTATTGTGTCTTCCCAGCGGTAGGCATGTTTATAGCTATAGCAAAGACCACTCAGTAGAAGGTGCGAGTGGCAACATAGAGCATATCACGCCTGAGATATTTGGCCAGTGTTTCACGTATACCCGACTATCAACCTTGAATATGATAGACAGTATGATAATTGAAGGTGGTAAAAGCAAATGAGGTAGACCTAAAATCACGTGAAGAAAAATTATCTCAATAAAACCTACAATCTCCCAAAATTAATCAGACATAGCTATGAACAGTATGTATACACATCTACACGGATGCATACTGACATACGATTCCAACTGGTTGGGATTAACACTCATTTTGAAAAATAACTAGTTGGGAGATAACTAGTTCGGATTAAGATTTAGTTGTTGTTACACTCGCACTAACTTCTATATTTGTCAAAATTCTTTTAATTCTTGCTAGAGATGAATATCCACTCAGGGGTAAGCGTGAGAATTGAATTGTTTGCAGAATAAGAATTCAGCAGTCGAGACATCTATGTCTATTTCATTAACAAAAAGATGAAAGGGTGTAAGCAAGGAAATGACCTATTAGGGCAGGAAGAAGGTATGAAAACACAAAGCATTCTCTTGCTTCCCCACGTGTTGTTTCTAAGTATTGTCCCCTCTATGCTGGATCTTGGCCCAGCCTACTTTTTTCTGTTTTCTCTTCTCTTATGTCCTGCCCGTGCTTGGATAGAGAATGGGTACGAACCTTTAGTTGATTGATTTTGCTTTTAGACTTAATTGTTGTTACACTTGCATTAGGTTCGATATTTGAACACAAGTCTTTTATTCTTGTTAAAGACGAGTGTAGGATAAGTATGTGATTTAAAAAAAAACTGTAATTGATTGATTTTGATTTTATTTTCCCTGCAAATCAAAAGGGCCAAGAATAAAGAGAGACATTCATTTGTTTATTTCTCTTACATAGAGTATTTAAGATTTATTTCTACTTTTTAAATTAAAAATGGTATTTTACTAAAGCTATTTCCAAGAAGGTACTGCAAAAGTACATAAAGGGAATTACATCGGACGAAGGAAAAAATTATTTGGCATGATTGAACAGAAAATAAATATTAGTAAATAGAAGTTGACTCATCTATCCTAGAAAGAACTGAAAAATCTTGCTCTCCCTGCTGTTTTACTTCATAACCAGACAAAGAGGAAACATCATAATCCCAATTGGCTTCACACGTTCAGTTTCCCTCCCTCTTTGCACCCCCAGAAAGCATAAAGAGCTGAAGTTCTACAAACTTGCTCTCCACAATCCACAGTAAATAAAATGAGGAGAGATCAACGGTTCAAGGGTAAGACTGTACCTCTGCCAGCTGTTTATCAGTCATCTCAACACCTTCCAATAGTGTCTTCAGAAGTGGCATGGCTCCAACTGTGTCCTTAGATGCATCAATCTTAGAAAAGCTTTCTTTTACAACGGAAGAAGCCCTGCCCAAGTTATCAGGCACATCTAGTAGGGCTTTCACAAAATTCTGCAGCATTATTTATACCAAAACATGAGAGAAACGGAAGTAAAACTTAGAACACAAAAAAGTTTAATTGTGTGCCTGCATAGCAAAGCATGCGCTCATCAAGACTAACCTGAATGGCAAACTTCTTGGAATTTTCTGCTTCTCGTTTAGTTCTCTCCATGACATTCTCCATCTCTGCATAACTCCGGAGAAACTTATCCTGCAATTTCCGAAACTCATCATCTTTCATCTTCAGGAGTTCTTCCTTCTCAACCACAAGTTTCACCAGGTCATCCCTAGAAAGGTCCTCCGCATCTATATCTGAATCCAAATGAGCATTTTCTTGAGTATGTCTTCTACTTATGCTTTTTTAATCATGTTATAATAATATGCCATATAAAAACCTGATTCATCCTTCTCATCCTGAATGTGAGAATCAGCAGAGGCTGAAGCTTTCTCTGTTGTGCTTCCTCCTTCACCTTGGGACTGAGATGTTTCTTTTTCATTAGGTTGGGGTGATGCAGAGGATGAGATTCCAAACCATTGCAAGGCAGAGTCAGGTAGTAGAGACACCTGATAAAAAAACACAGTCAGCAAAATCAGCAACATTTAGGTAAGCATTAGAGATACGATCTTATAAGAAGAAAACCACTACAAGCTCGAGAATGTACATTAAATCACTGCCCGCAGATCTTTTTACAGACGAGCATATTTTTCAATTGAGCCTCTCTAGCTGCACAAGGTAGGGTAAGGTATGTGTACACACTACACTCCCTAGACCCCACTTGTAGGATTCCACTGGGTTTGTTGTTGTTATGTTATAGACGAGCATATTATCATTGTTTTTTCAGCGAACTTGACTGCTAACCATGAAATGACACAATTAGGATTCTTTTATTTTTTTCTCAAAATTAGAAATCATTTTACCCAACATAAGTCTTGTCCTGCATTTTCAGTTCATTTGGGATATAAAAGAATATAATTACATACTGCCAGTAAGCTAAAGGCAAAATCATTATATCTACACTCTTTGAAATCCAAGCATATTTTAACTTCTTTCCTCCTACTAAACTATATGTGAGAGTTGCCAGTGTTGCTAATAACTCACATATAGTTTTAAGTCCAAAACTTTCCAAGATAAAATTTTTGCAGCAACCCATTAAAAGGTACCGATTTTAGTAGATACAATCAAAGCTAAAAGTAAGTTCAAGTTAATCTTGCTATACAGCTAAAGTACAGTTGCAATTAAAACCCTAGCAAAACCCTAATTCATTAATTAATCCAGAAAAGGCGGGAAGGTGATTGAAAGATTATTTGGGGGTGGGCAAAAAGATTGAACCTTTTCTTTGATGTCACGAACGGAGTGAAACTGAGATGAAAGGATGGGAAGGTGGTGTTGCTGCTGTTGCTTTTGTTGACGATAATAGAGGCGGCACTGTGTCAACACATTCCTTGAGAACCGAGATGATATTCTACTCACCGACATTTCTGAATTAGGGTTTCTGCTATATGGATTGCACAAACAAGAGCAAAAAAAATTGAACTAACTTGTGAATTGGGATGGCGGTGGGGTAATGAAACAGAGAAGGGTTTTAGGAAGAGGGGAAAAAGAGAGACGTGGTTGTGCTTGAAGAGGAGGAAAAGGTTTACGAGAATTTTTGTTTCGAACACTAAACAAAATAAAAAAGAAAACCTTTTTCTCTTTTGCTTTTTAATTTTTCATTTGATTCCCACTAAAGTAGTAAAAAATAATTTAAAATTAAACTTGTTGGCGTGTAAAATTTGCGGAATTAAATTCATAAATTAATTTGGACTATATTTTAAAGGAAAAATTTTACATAAAAACAAGTGAGCTCCCTAGTTTTCAATTTATAGCTCATATTTAAATTTACAGCCAATTAGCCCAAAAATAATAGCCTAAGATTCAACATCCAACTCCAATAGGTTCTAGAAATTACTATTTAATTTTTAAAAAAGATTGCTCAAGCTTTTAAGTTAATTTTCACTTCAGTAACTGTGACTCAAATATTAGTTCAACAAATCAAATCCATTTGTAGATTTTTAACAAACTTAAATATAGGATCTAAATTCCGAATTTGATTTTATGAGAAATTTGGAGTGAGTGTTATTTAAACTTGTTAGAAATAGTATAATGATGTTGTGTATAAAATTTGAAGTCAGTTAATGGAGATTTGGACTGGTTTTGAACAAGAATTGCAACTGAAAATCGTGGAAGAAGTTCGTCTACAGACGATTGTATAAAGGTATACAAAAGTGTATAATAGTGTATAAGATGTGTTTATACACTCATATACACTATTATACAAGATTATATATAATTATACAAAAAACTGACTTCGTCTTCTTCCTTGCGTCTTTTCTAATATTTAACTTAAATCTTGCTCAATTCTACTCCAAATCACTTCAAATTTAAATTTTGAACTCCTTTTGATAGTTTCAATCAATTGGAACAACACCCAATCCAAACAACTAACAAACTTAAAAAAATCCTATATTCGAAAGCAAAGCTTTGAATGACCTTCAATGGTAGACTTCTATTCTTCAATTTTCTTACATTGCAACTAGGTGACACTGGGTAAGAAGCAGCAATGGCAGACAACCCCTTGAAGCATATGTAGAAGATGTGAGAAGAAGAGAGAGTGAAAGCAATGATTATGAGAACACAGATTTAACTCCATAGCTTTTTAGAAGCAATGGTTGTAAAAACACATATTTTGAATTTGTTAGTGCTTTCAAAATATGTACAATATGGGCTAGGTTAGGTAAAACTTAAAAATATGGGCCATTTTTTGCTATGGTGTGAAGTCATGTATATTTTCTTGTAATTCTTTCTATTTTAAATTCAAGTTATATTAGTCCAAATAAATTTGTTGGGCTAATATAATTGGATTAGTTATATAAGTCCGATATAGATGGATTTAATAATTCAGTCCAAGTTCATTGGACTACAAGTGATGAGCCTAATTCATTAAGCCCGAGATGCCATCTTCCTAGAGGCCTAGTTTGGTGCCACGTGTCAAATGACGTGGTACGCCAAGTCAAACGAAAAAGCCAATAGGAATCATGCCATGTGTCAAAATGACAAGGCATGCCAAGTCAAATTAAGAGGCCAATGAAATCGCACCACCGTGTAAGTGACATATTCTGGCCAATCAAATACGGCTTTGTCACACTTCAATTTGATTGGTCGGAAAGAGTTTGTTCTTATCATAACTCTTCCCTCCCACTAGGGGTGTACATAGGTTGGGTTGGTTTGGATTTTACAATTACCAAACCAAACCAATTGTGTCGGGTTATTAAATCTAAATACCAAACCAAACCAATAAAACTCGAATTTTGCAATCTCGATTTTTCTCGGGTTATTCGGGTTATTCGGGTTTTTTCCGGTAAAATCTTCGTAGCACGAAACATATTACTTGTGCTCAAAATATTTCGTTAATCCTAGTAAGATACAACTATATAAGGTATTTTACAAGAAAATAATACAAAATGTGAGATGTGTCATAGCATTATTCTAAAATATTCAACAATAAAGACATTAAAATTATGTAATATAAATATTGCTAATTAAAAAACCATAATAAAAATAAATATAATCTAAAAGTACTAAGTCATGCTAAAATAAGTAGACTAATAAGGGAGTATTAATTACATGATTAAACACTAAAGAAAAAATAAAAATATTTATCTAAATTATTGCAAAACAAAAAATAGATATTCAATACATTGTCGTTCGTTGTATTGAATTGAATGTCTTTTGTTAGCATTAGTATTGATTTGATTTTGGTTTGGCTTTTGTTAGCATTATTTAAGTTACTAATATTAATGGCTATAAAACTTATTGGAACATTCAAAAGTTCTAAGTCCAACCTTGAAATAATACCTTAAAAGATAAAATTATGAAAAAAGTTTAAGAAATATTTATAAATTACATCACAATAAGTATATTTATATATTAAATATATCTAAAAATTCTAGATATGTAATGTCGGGTTGGTTTTGTTTCGGTTTGACTTTCTTTAGTCAAAACCAAACCAAACCATAGTCGAATTTTTTTTCTCGGTTTGACTCGGATTATCGGGTTGGTGCGGTTTGTCGATTTCCTTTGTACACCCCTACCCCCCACAACTATAAATAGGGGTCTTCATAACCCAGAAAAAGGACCAGAAATTATAACAAGAATCAAGAGAGAGTTCGTGGATCAAACGCTGTAGATCTACTGATTAAAATATCAAGACGAAGATTCAAGAACAGACTGCAAGCCTTTGGATTAAAAATACATCTAGATCAAGATCAGACCTCAAGCACTTGTATTAAAGTAAAATAAAATTCAAGATTAAGCTCGAAGACTCTTTTATTTACAGTTGAAAAGAAGAATCAGAGGAATCATAGAGATTGTTGTATAGGTCAAAATTTGGACGACCACGACCGTTACTGAGTGTAGCAAAGAACAAGGTCCTTACGATGCAACGCCCTTCCGTCGTTATGAAGGGTGACAACTAACAACGGCTAGTGAACGCACGGCATCTGCAGCAGTGTTAACATGATAGGGAACAATAGGAATATGCCTTTCGAATATTCCTTGTGTCGTACCTTTTTTAGGGTAAAAAGGGGGATTGTCCCCTATAAAGAGGAAGGAGAGAACATTCGTAGAGGGGGAGAAAGAAAAACAATTTGGCTTATTACAGATCAAAAATCCTTACATCATCCTTTGTCTTGACTAATTGCATTCATTGCTATATTCTCTTACATTTGAAGTTCTCGCCTTTACGAATAATCATTTGGTTCCAACAGATTAGGAAGTATCATTCACCATATTTTATCCTTGCACTATCTAATCTAGATTTTATTACGCTTAGCTGAGATTTACCTCTTCATCTTCATCAATTGATTTAATCAAAAAGGTTTTAATATCTTTTGGTCAAACAATTTGGCGCCGTTTGTGGGGATTTCTTTAGCTAAGATTTTAGTTTCATCTAGATCCTTGAAAGAGATAATCGCCTCTTCCTAGCTTTGCAAAAACCAACAATGGCAGGAAAGGGAGACGCAAGGTTAAAAGCGGTAGCAGGTATCATAACCAACCTTCTGGATTCCATCAACGAAGCCGGTAGGGAGGATAACGAAAATGCGACACCAAACGCTACACCCGAGGGAGATACCTCACCTCCCCCGCACGAAAGCGTGACTGCTTCACGCGAAAAGAGAGCCTCCACATCCACAATAGCAGAAGCACCACCAGCTGTGAAAAGGCTATTGGAAGAGTGGCTGACAAACACTCTGAGCAACATACTCGATAAACCCGTTCAAAGGGATATCGGAGGCACAACAGTCGGCGTCAAACTAGAAACTCCACGTATATGTAACACTCATATTGGTGTGATGCAGGTAACGACGCACTCGCAGCCATCCTAAAGAAAATGGAGGAAATGGAAAATGAGAACAAGGTGCTCCGTGATCAGATGAAGGAGCATCAGGAAAGGGTTGATAAAATACCGGGCGCTCCGAAGTTGCTACCAAAACGGGACGTCGGTCTTCGTCGAGCAACCATACAATGAAGGGGAAGCCCCCACGCCATTCCAAAAACCTTGAAAATGCCACCATACTTGAAAATATATGATGGTACTACAGACCTGAAAGATCACATAATCTACTACGTCACAGCCGTAAAAGGCAACAATCTGTCGAAAGAACAAGTGTCATCGGTGCTGCTGAAAAAGTTCGGCGAAACCCTGACAGGAGGAGCGCTGACTTGGTACTCACAATTGCCAACACGATCAATATTAACGTTCGAAGAAATGGCAGACAAATTCGTCACTGCTCATGCAGGAGTGAAAAAGGCGGAAGCCAGGGTAAACGACATCTTCGCCATTAGACAGACGACGGGCGAGGGACTCAGGGACTTCCTAGCCATATTCAATAGGGTGAGAATGAGCCTACCAAACATATCAAAGGGGATGGTGTTGATACCCAATTTTTCCCTATGTATTTATATATACTCAAAATATTCTCAAAATAGTATATACATGCATATATAAGCATGCCCAAGAGTTTTGGTATTTTTCCCTTATTTTTTTTAAAGATCTTAAAATCAATTTGTTGTCTATTTTAATAGCACAAAATTCAATAATTATTCCCAAACTAGCATTTTTGGTGAATAATTTATTTCATTCTCATATTTACACTAAGATATAATTAAAGTAATTTTTGCGTATTTTTATACATTTGTTTGGTATTTTTTTTAGCTAAATTGCATACAATTGCAATTATGGCCTATTTTACAATTAACAGCATTTTATAATCATAAAATCACTTTTAGTATTTTTACATTAATATTTATATGTTATTAATTAGTCAGTACCTGTAATTTATTTTTAAATCATTTCTTACTATTTTTATAAAATAATAAAAGGGAAAAATTGGCTATTTAACAAACAACCCTTATTATTTCAATTATAGCCAATTTAGCCCCATCCCCATCAGATTTTTGATTAAATACAAATGGCCCAATAACCCGTTTAAACCAGCCCGACCCAAGCCCCCTTTGATCTGAACCGTTGATCTTTGAGATCAACGGCCTCAATTCGCCCTTCTTTAATTAAGCCTAATGACTAACCCTAATTCCCTCATTTTCATTTCAGTAGCCGC